GAGCCATTTGCAAGAGAAAAACCCAGAAGGACTCAGCACGGGCTCGACAGCAGGTTCAGGAGCCTGCAGACAGCTCCCGGGGAGCCCAGCTCAGCTCTTGCTCTCAGCCGAAGCCCCCTCGTCCAGGTTCCCGCTCCTCTCAATATATTATTACTATTATGTGCAAGTAGTTTTGCATCAGAAAACCCCGAGTCCTCTGCCCTCACCCTGCCGCTCCAGCCCCGCGGCCACCCCTCAGCCCTGCTGGTGCCTCAGAACGTCTCTCCAGCCCCAGGGTGTCGTGGAGAGCAAAGCGTGAGGGTAGCTATGAGACAGCAAAGACTTCACCACCCCCCTCCCTCCCCAAACCCCGGCCCTCTCCCTCGCACACACCCCCTGCCCGCGCCGCCGGCTGCAAGGACAGTCCACGAGAGCCAAGTCACTCGTCGCCCTCCTCCTCGTGATGGTGGTGGCTGGAGGCAGGAGGCTCTTCCACCTCTTGTTGGTGGTGGGCATAGTGATGGGGGCTAGGACCTTCAGCGGGCATGTTCTCCTCTGCGTTCAGGTAGACGTTGAACAGGGCTCCCTCGTGGCTCGGCTCCTTGCCGCAAGCCTGGCAGCTACAGTGAAGTATCTTCTCCACCAGCTTGTCAACCCTGGGGATCTCGTCGTTGCCTGGACAGTCCAGCGTCACCTGGGCAGAAGGACGAGGACACAGTGAGTGAGCCTGCAGGCTCAATGCCCGGATGGCAAGAGCTCTCTGGGGATGTCTCGCAAGGTCACAAGCTGCAGAGACCCAGGGAAAATGCACCGACTCAAGAGGGACATTGCTGCCAGGCGCTCCTGGCACAGAAATATTGGTGGTAAATGCAAAGGCCAGCCACAAGGCACGTTGCTGAGCATCTCAGATAGCTTGGATTAAACCATCTGCCCAAATGTCTGAGTTGAAAGCAAAGCAGAGAGCTGACCCAGGTCCCTGGGTGCCCAGGCTTGCCTCGGAGGCAGGGTGTGTGGCTCTGCCAGGACCAACGCTGGCACGAAGCTGTGACTGGCAGATGGGCCGTGGGAAGCGCTTCTGGACTTCGAAGAAGGCAAAAACTCCCAAGTGGGAGGAGGTGACAAAGGGAGCGGTGGAGAGAACGGGCACGTGGGAAGAGCACGGGGATGAATAATGCAGGGATGCTTCTGCGGACAGTGACAAATGCACCATTCACCACAGCAGTCACGTTGCTTCCAGCAGCCCCTTCCACCCAGGCATCTCAAGAAAGGGTAAAGTCACCTGAGAGACACTCTGGAAGGAAACTACAAGTGGGAAAACCTCAGGGAAGGGGAACGACTTGCCCTAAAGCGGTGGCAGAGCAGAGCTGAGAGCCCCTGAGCGAGGCCCTGCAGAGAGAACCGTGGAGCAGGCAGGGATACTCACGATTTCCCACATGGACTGGGCTGGCATGCAGGAGTCGCAGTGAACCAGAGACTCCGTGGACTGAGGGAAGGTGTTGGGGACGCTGTAGCTGAAACACTGTCCCAGACAGGCCCTGCAAAGACAACAGGAGGGATGAGGTCTCAGGGGAGGTGCCTGTTCTTCCCGACAGAGGCAGAAGGAGATTCGACCTTCCACTGAGACAGACTGAAGGCAGCCGGGCAGAGGCAGGACACTGTGCCTGGCTTCTTGTGCAAGGGACGGTCCCTAAAGCCACAAAGGGAAGTCAGCGGCACCCAGCTCGGCGCTGAGGGTGGGTCTGTACCTGTTCTGGATGGACTTGGACTCGCAGCCGCTGTGCCCCACGATCTGGGTGATGTTCTTCGCCTCGCACCAAGCGCTCTTGTCCGGGAAGAGGGCAAGCTTGTTTATGGGGGGCGGTGCGGCCAGGAGCAGCGCTGGGAAGAGGGCACCAACCACGAACCATAACATCATGGCCAGCTCTGCCAAAATCCTACAACTGGAGACAGAGAGCAAAGTGTTCGTAGGAAGGAAAAGAGGCAAGCCGGCCCGTTTCTACAGCCCCAGAGGAGTCTTTGGCTGCGACAAGCACAGCTATGTCCTCCCAGGGTGTTGGTACTCGCATCTCCCTCCACGGCCAGGGAGGCTCCCCGAAACACGGCCCAGGGAGCGGGACATGCTGCTCTGCCTCTTCCCTCTTCAAAACCAGCTCTGGGGCAGGCAGACACCTGCAGTACTTCTGCCGAGCTTTGTGCCAGGAGCAACAGCAGGCTTTTCGTCCTTTCCCCCACAAAGCTGGGCTGGGAGAAGTTTGCAAAACAAAAGCGTCACCGCCACGGGCCCAGCCAGGTTGGAGAAGTCGCGGACCACAGAAATGCTTTTATTTGAGGAAGGAGCACACTTCCCCACTTCCTTCTCTCCCACTTTAAAAGCCAAAGCTGGCCTTCCCAGGGAAAAGGGACGGCATTCCCGGGGAAGAGAAGCCCTCTCCTCCTGGCAGTGCGCAGCAGATGTCGCTGCGAGGCAGCAGCAAGCGAGGAGACGTGGAAACCTCAACGCAGCGGCCAGGCACCCGCAGGAAAGACCAATACAGCATTTGTTTTTACAGAGCCACTCGCACTCAGCAAACGGTTACTGGGCGGAGGGGAACTCAGTCTGCAGACAAGGGGGGTCCTTGTAACACCAAGCACAAACCTCGCTCACAAAGGTGGTCGGCCGAGAGGGTTACTTACCACCCCCAGAGCAAGCCCCCGCCGGGTGTCCTTGCAGGCCAGCTGCGCTCTCCAGCCAAGGTGCCTGCATTAACACTCCCAATCACTGGGGAAAGGCAGACGGAAAAGCATCATAGAAATAGGGAAATTTTTTCCTTTGTGGGGTTTGGATGGAGTCACAGTGAAAGGCAGACATTTATACCATCTAAAATATTTGTTAGAACCATATTATTTGTTACTTCCTTCTATTTATTTATCCAGATGAAGATCCAAAGCCCACACTGGAAAGACTCCTGTTGATTCCCATGGCTCCTGGGCCCAGCCCTCTAACGCTTGCCGGGGAACGAGAGGAAAAATGCCTTGTGCATCAGACGCCAGCGTCAGAGGCAGCGCGCACTGGGGACTCCCAGCTGGGCAGTCCCCTGGTCGCTGTCTATCTGCAGTTTCCACCATCACATCCTCGGCTGGAGGCCCACCACGTTTACCTAAATAACAGAGATGGCCTACTAAGCACCTCTCACGGCTCCAGCTCAGATACTTTAGGGTCATTATGGGGCAGAGGGGTTTGCCCTGCTACCCCTCCACTGAGCTCAACCTCCTGGATGTGAATCAAAAGAGAGACAAGAGAGAGATGCTTCTCCATCCCATGGCAGCCAGAAAAGGACATCCTCACTCCCTGGCCGTGGATCTCTGGAGGAATCAGGTGGGGTCTCTGCTAAATTTTCTTATTTCCTGGTGATGCAGGAATCATAATGGTATAACGCAGCAACACCTTCATAGCCCTGGCTTCCTAATCCTCCCAGCACTTGTTCATGTGAATCCCACGGGGCCCTGGTGAGAATACCTGCACGAAGCAGGGTTTGCAGGTCTCAGCCTGACATAAGCAGAGGGTTTTAGCCCTTGAACTTCTTCTGCCATTAATGAGAGCATTGTGGTTAAATGCATTTGTCCTGAAGACAACTCTTAGTGCTTACATCTGCTCCCTGAAATTTCCTTCCATTTCAGCAGGGGAATTCTGCAATTTCTGCTAAGAAGAACACGGCTAAGCTGCACACACACACTTGGTTTGCTTGGTTTTCTGGAACGAACATCACTCATTCCCCAAATGCCAGCAGCTCTGCGCTGAGGAATCCCGCTCCCAAAGGCAAGTCCGAGATCAGAGCTGGGATGTGACCCAAACAGCAATCACAGCCCCCGGGGGAACAGCCGAAATTCCTCTGGAGTCAGCACACAAGTTCACTTCCACATGCCCGATTAGAGAGCAATTTCCTTCTTTCCAAAGAAAGGTGGTGGCTGGTTTTTTTCCAGGTTTCTCTTCATCTCTACCCAGCGGCAAAGACACAAACATTTGTGTCTGCGCTGACAGCTCTGCTTCCCCGGGACCTTTCTTTGTCCTGAAGGGAGGTGTTCAACAGAGAGGTGTTTCTGCAGCACCGGTCAGAGCAGATCCATTGCCAGCGGCACGGAGCATCATCTCTGAGCATCCGAGCTCCTGTCTCCCTCCAATACTGAGAGGAAGACGAGTGAGGGGGCTCTGCTAAAGCACAGAACCTGGCCTGGATTCAGGAAAGCACTTAAACACACGCTTAAGCCCTCTCCTTTCCCGAGCAGGGATGTCTTTGTAACCAGGGCCCCTAGCAGCATGGCCACTGGTCCGGTGTGCAGAGGGGCAGTCGGTGAGCTGGGGAACTGGGTACCTACACAGAGCTGGGGTAATGGCAGCTGCACCCCGTTCTCCAGGGCACTCGGGTGCTGAGCACTGCTGTCCCCCTCTGATCTGAAGCCTTGAACAGGCCACATCCACACACAGTGTCTTCCTTCTCCCAAGAATGCCCTGGAACCCGCAGGGCCACATTTCTAGCAAGCAACAGGGTTTATGCCAGTGCCTAGGAAAACATCTGATGCAGCTGAGTTTGGGAGGGAGCTGGAAACAGCCTGCTCACAACCATGGCATGTTCACTGCCATAGTTCAAACCAGTCATGCGAACAGAGCTGCCACGAAAACCATTCATCTGACAGCAGCCACAGGGTCAGAGACAAAAGCACCGTGTTCCTTCTCCCCCCGGCTGGGAAGGGAAGGAAAAAAGGAAGACAAGGCACCCCAGCAGGTTTGCAAACTCCCGATTAAATAAAGGCACTGAGCACATTCCTCCGTGACAAGCTAAATTACACATTGCAGCCCTTAAAGGAACAAGTGTGTGCTCCCCGGCGCTGACCCCGGCCCTGGCCTGCCGGCGGGAGCAAGCACTTCCCCACACACAGGGGCTTCTTTCTCTCCTCCGCACCAGGGCACATTTTTTTTCCTGCTAGTCAAAGCTTTTCAAGCAGAAAGTTCAGCTCCGTAACGGCAGACCCATCAGCCCATGAGGCTCTCCCGCCTCTGCAGGGAAGCACAGGGCAGCTTCCTCCGCCATCCCTTCAGCACGCGTTTGAGAAACCAAATGACTCAGCCCTTGAGCCTGGCACATCCCGGACTCCGGAGACAAACAACTCCTCAGCGCACGCACAGCTGCAGCCTTGTGGTGAGCGGCCCTGGAGCCTTTTTCCACCCTGTCCCCATGCCCGAGGAGCTAAGGGGCAAAATGTCCGAGGCTGGGGGGTCTCAGCTCTACCAGCTCAGCATCCCCGCCAGGTCTGGAGCGTCTGCAGGAGTCCTGTCAACGGCTGAGCCTCCCACAAGCCTGGTTCTGAGATCTGGTGGCAGCACGCTCAGATGTTCTGTGTCACCTAGAAGAGCTTCTTCCTCCCATCCCGGCAGTCCCGGGGACTCTCAGGAGTCCTGCAAGCAGGACAGTCCCCGCCAACGCCTGGAAGCAGCTGGGAAAATCTACATCATTACTTGGGCTGGAGGACAATCACGGGAATTACCTCGGAGGCCACGTTCCCACCATCCAGCCCACAGCTGTTCCCGGCCATTTGGAAACCAAACACTTCTGGAGGAAATAAAAAAGATCTAATCAGTTTTACCTTCTTTTTCCAGAGGGAAGTTTACACCATAATACAAGACAAGCCTGCAGGTGGACATGGGGAACATTTCATGAGTAGTTTAATACATTTATAGGTATTTTTCTGATCCAAGATCTTGCAATGTTGCCAGACACATAAAAACACAGACACAGGTATATTGTGCTCATGGCCACACACACAGCACCCCAGGGTCTGAGAGACAAGAAATCCCTAAGCTTTACAAACATTGCTTAGCCAAGGCTCAAAGCCTATGAATACAGCACAGAAATAGTGTCAGCTCCACGCTGCGGCTGAGGAAAACAAGGTATGAAGCCGGGAAATGGCCTTCCCTCAGTGCCTAACTCAGTGATTCAAGCCCCTGTGGGAGATGCGTGAGATCTCAGCGAGATGGACAAGGTGAAGGTTTCAGCTCCCGGTCTGGATCAGAGGTGGGACCTTCCCCTTTCTCTCCTGAGTCCCTGGACGCATGGCTGTCCTTCCCACCCAGCCTGGCTCTCAAGCTACACCACACCAAGCTGCCGACAGCAAACCCACGTTGGTGTTAGACACAAATCACAGCGGTACCGGGTCAGGCCTTTGTGTTCAAGTAGTTATTTGGGCCATTTTGCTGAGAAAAGCTGCTGCACGGTGCTGCTGGGAGGAGTCCCCAAAGATGCGCTGCTCTGTGCCTCAGTTTCCCTGCTCGTAAGAGCACCGCACACCAAGCGAGCTGACGGGTGAGGGGAGAGCGGGAAAGCACGGGGAGGTCTTTGGAGTGCCAGACTTCCTTCGAGGGAAGAGGCTGCCCGGGGCAGGAGCAGAGGGACGGCTGCCAACAGCCCTTGCCCCACACGGTGCGGCGCGCTTTCCTCGCCGGGAAGGTGCTCGGGGGAAACACCGCGGTGCCAGGCAGGCAGGAGTCAGGCCAGGACATCGCTGTGCCGTGGGAGAGTCACACGGGGACACTGCGACGCAGGGCATGGGCAGTTTGCTGCCTTGGAGAAGAGAAAGCTCTCCAAGGACTCGGGTGGGATCACTCCCGCGTGTGGAGGTGGCCAGGAGCGATCCCTCTTGCAGGTAGCTGTAAATGCTAAAAGGCAGCCCATTATCTGGGCACCTAAAAGGAAGCAAAGCCACAGTAAGTGTCTGATTTGGTGGCAACTGGAAAGAAACATGTACTTGTCCCAGGAAGATCCAGGGCACAGGTCTCCTTAGACAAAGGATTTTGTCTATACAGAAACTTCTGAATACTACAGGGAATTGCCTCTTAGGAATCTTAAATAATATTTGCTTACACGGAACAAAAAATACTATAAGCGAGCATTATTAGTAGGAAGAGTTTACACCTAAACTG